TGTGAGGTTGTTGATCATACAATAAGCTCTGCCAGTTTAGGTGATATGAACCCCAATAAAAGCAGGCCAGTCAAAGTCACTGTTCACATGGATATTGTGACCAGTCTTACCTCTGTACATGCCAAAGTAGCCTTCAGATTTTACTGTCTTTATTAGGCAATCCATCCTGAAGAAGAAAAGAGAGATAGATAGCTTTGTTGAAAAGGTCTGCTATGACAAATCACAAAATATATATTATTTACAAAAAACTAAATTTACTGAAAATCTTAAGAGTCTAACTTGTTCCCAACATGGGAACAAATGCTCAGTTTATGACCAAACATCAGAGATTTCTTTTTTTTCTTACATGCTCTTGTAAAGTTGCTGCCCGCTGCGTTGGTTCTGCAGGCGGGTCTTGGCCAGGTCAATTGGAAACACACAGGTGACTCCTACCATCCCTGCAATCCCTCCATTGATCAGTTTGGCTGGGAGGCTGTTCAGGGACGAGTCAAAACAGACACACACATGACAATCATTCCAATCCTCTGGGAATGAGTAAATCAAACAACATAAACCTACTCATATGAGGCATTACGCTTCCAAAGCCTTCTTCAAATTCTACAGTCAAACATCCAATTGCAAACTAGAAATGTTTATTTTATCACTCAAATGGAATGAAATAATGAAAGCATGTATTCTTCCATGTCATGCTTGGGGGTTTGGTTAGGTCAATACCTGATCCGCTGTTGCTGGGCCATGGTTCTTGGTTGTCTGAGTGCACACGTTGGTCAGCACAAAGGCGGTGGCCGTGGAGGGAGAGCAGGCTGAGAGTCCCTGAGAGACACTGAGCAAGGCAAGAGTAGAAGTGAGCCCGGGGGTTATATATATAGAGGCACGACCAGCCCCACAGATACATGGATAGATTCCACACTGCTCTCCACCCCCTGCACTGCCAGCCAAGAACTGCAGCCAGGGTTAGTCATCACCTTACCAAAATCTACCCACAATGCAAATAGCTTCCCCTGGATACACCTGCCAGCCGTGTCAGGGAATTCCTTCGATTTGCAAAAAAGGGCTTCCGTGCAAATTCATCATTTCTATTATCTACCATCCTATTCAAATGTGGCAGTTGGATGATGAGGCTAATGACATGGCAGGATTAATTCTAGCTGGGCAAAAGGTGTTGCAGTGCAATGTATGTTTATGTAAGTTATGAATAGATACAAGTGCATTTCTCACAGATAGTCATTCATAACTTGATCATTTTACTTTTAAAATGCAGTTAAATGGATGTTTAGTTTGGCTCAGGAGTGCCCCTACTGGTCATTGTGTTAAAACAATGATTCTTGTGACCTGTGATCTTCTAAAACATATGAGCAAGTGTTGAAATGTCACCCGCAGTATCTTCTATCACACTCCAGTTCATAATTGGTGAATACATACAATAAAAGCATAAGAGCCATAAAGAGCTGAATACAATTAAGAAGCTTGATGTCACTGCTGTATGATAAGAAATAACAGGGCATGCAGCACCCACCTTGAGAAGAAGTCAGATGTTTAAAGTTATTGTGGCCCAGTTTTAGTTGCACACTCTCCCTCTGTGCAGCTGCAGGACTGAAAGAATAATGTGTGCAGGGAAAGAGGGGCGTGTGAGTGCAGCAGCCATAGAGGCATGTCAGACCTGACATCCAGACCAATAGGAAGAGTTTCCTTGTAACCGTACCTTTACCCAGGTGAGCATGATGCAACTGTGTCTTGACATTACCTCTCTCTACTTTCTGCAGGAAACCTTGCACAGACTTTTTCAAACTTTGTTAAAAGCTAAGAGAAGTTTTTGTGTGTATTTTTTGAAAAATCACTAAATGTACTTTAAATGGCAACATGATTATTCCAGGAGGGCTACATCTATATAGGAGGATAATTTCGGTGACAAACTGGTACATTTTACACAATTAGAATTATAATCTGTTGATACTACAGCCAAAGGACGATCAAGACATTCTTGTCATGTTGATTTGGTTGATGCTTTCAGGAAGCTTTGTTCTAAGGAGGATCTACTATCAGGCACTGACCCGATGCTTTACTTTAGGTTAAAGTACATTTATTGTGAACTGCATAGAATTTATATTCTGTAGATAGTATACTGTATTTAGATAGTATACTGTATGTATGTAGATAGTATACTGTAATATAATATAATAATGTAATATAAACTCTCAAATAGCTTAACTTGAAGTGGCAGCACTTTCTGCTGGCCTCCAGCTTTGCAGCTCAGCTCTGTCTCATGTGTGTCTGATCTGATCGGCAGCTCTGCTGCTGCCTTTTGTACCAAAGGATCAATCAGCTAACAGCCCTCAGCTGTTTAATCCTCTGGTACAGGTGGAGGTGCTCTCCAGCCACATCTGTGCCCACACACACACACACGCACACACACACACACACACACACACACACACACACACACACATGCATTCACTGTCATTTGAACAGCTAATACAAGCTATAATACATGTTCAACACAGGGTTTTATTGCAATATCTTGCCTAACAAATTACATTTAAAAAACATAACACAAACAGGTGAGGTAACACTAACCCTCAGGATCTAATATGAACTACAGTAATATAAGCGAGCAGAGATACTGCCGCTCCATTAGGTTACAGCTGTTTCATTTGCCATGTAAATACATCTCTTGTCATATTTCAGAAGCAGACTGGTTCTGGTTCTTCACGCCGCCATGCGTCATGGGGCATTGGTCGTAAGTGATTTGGTTGGTTCGGACACAGTTGTGTGTGCGTGTGTCACAGCGCTTACAGCTACAGCAGCGGGCCACGGGATAATACAGCTGTGGGGTGGCAGCCTTAGGGCAGCCAGGAAAACATGCCGGTCGGTACACCAGGGAGAGAGGTACACAGCTACGCTGGATCAGAAAAGTCCTCCCAAAGCGGCCCTTCAAATTGGTGTCCTGTGAAAAGGGGGAACTGTTAGAGGCTGTGCAGTGATTTGACTGAGAAATGTGACAGTGTGTGTGACGAGGTGGGTTTTAATCATGTAGGGGTCCATCATATCCATCCCTTTTGACTAACTCATAGCATAATGATGTCTATTCACCGCCATTGTGCAACACAAGCTCTGAGGTGTTGATTTTCATTGTCATCCACACAGTGAACCTACAACTGAGCAAAATCCATGCTTTACAAGTAAATAAATGAATAAAACTAAAATGGCCCTGACCCCCCCTGCCTCTGGACATAAAAGCAACAAAGGACTTGTATTGCACGACATCACTTTAAGGATTAGTGGGTAGAAATTCTTGAGATCTAGTGGTGAAGTTCTAGCATGTGCATCGCATTTATCTAATCTGTAGTATAATGATGTCTGAGAGGAATGCTGACTCATCGCCGTATATCTTTATACAACCAAACCTCTGAGTTATTATTTTCATTGTCACCGACAGTGAACCTACAACTGAGCAAAACCCACAAGAGTAAAGATACTGAAAATAAATAGATACATTTTTAAATAGATACATTTAAATACATCCAAGCAACAAGCGTCAAAGGAAATTAAATTGTGCATCAATCTACCAACATCACTTAAAGATTCAGTGTAAAGGAGGCATCTAGTGGCATCTAGTGGTGATGTTGAGGTATTTCCATCCAATTTATCAAACTCATACTGTGATGGTGTCAGTGAGAGTGATGCTGAATCTTTTTCATTTATATGAAACAAAAGCTTTGAGGCATGACTTTTACTGTCATTGTCGTTGTAAATCTACAACTCAGAAAACGTATTTAGAAATCAAAGAAATAAATCACAAATGCATTCACCTTCATGCCTCATTGCAGCCACGTGAGAAAAGTGTTGCGACAAATATTCTCATAATGTGCATTACTTTGCCAACATGCCCAAGGATGAGTGGGATTAAGGGGCATCTAGTGGTGAATTTGCATATTGCCACATGAATACCTCCATTACTTATTTATTATTTTCAATCTATGTCAACTGATTCCTCTGCATCCGACTGTGTGTGAGAGAGTGTGTGGCGGTGGTTACCTGTGTGTAACAGTAGCCACTGCAGATGGTAGTGTTGACTGCCACACACTGGGCACAGTCTTGCCTCTCGATCCACAAGGTTTGATTCTTCAACATGCAGGCACACACTGTCCCACCCATTAGCGCACACAGCAGCGTGCATTGTGACACAAACAGAGGCATGCTGAAAGTGCATAAAAACACACAGTGAGACATCGCCAAACTAAAAAAGACAAATCACTGCACTGATATTAATTTGTTATTTTCATGTGAGAATTTCATTTAAAAGCACATATAGCACACACACACCTGAAATATGATTTGTAGTTCATAAAAGTAGAGATGTCAAAAGAAGACACAATGCATTTGAAGAGTTCAGATGTATGACAAAAATAATGTTTGTATTTTACCTTCTTCTCGTTGTGTCTTGCTCCCCAACTCTCCCCTGTTCCTCTCTGCTGGGAATATCTGAAAAGAATCATGTTCGTCCTTCCTCTTTTATGGAAACCCTAATCCCCCCCGCCTGCCCTAAGAGACTTCAGTCTGCAACATCATTCCACAAATCACATGTCAGCTCACTCAGCTACAGTGTTTAGGGTCACCGGTGGTCTCAAAACACACTTTCGCAATGTATGTGTGTCTGTTTAGAGTGTGTGTGTGGTCTAGGTATTACTCATGTGTGTGCATGTGATGCAGGTGTGTGTTTGTGGGTGTGTTTATGAATGTGCTCTTTTTTTCTATTGTCAAGGGTCAAACTGTCGAATATGGGCTCAACTGTGCTCAATGCAACTTGAGAAGGGGGTCATAAGAAGTGTTACATAATGTCACTGACCGAAGCTGCCGGACAATATGTGGGAAAAAACACACAAAACAACAAGTTATAGAGTTGCAGCGCCGACCCTTACACGTGTTTGGCTGGTCACAAACTGACCTGTGTGATTAAAAAGCTTGGTGACTCATGAGAAGTCTGCCTACCACACCATGTATTGATTTCAATTAGGGAGTGAGAATCTAAATTAAAAAGCTACATATGTATATCTTTATTATCACCTCACACAAAAAGACATTTTGTAAGAGAGAGTGAAAATGAAGGAAAATATTTCCACAACTTTCAGCTGGAAAGTAACAAAACGTTTAGGTAACCATACACTGAAGATGATATACATTTTCAGGCTTTAGGAAATTGTTTGATTTTAGAATTTTCTGTAATAACTGAGGGAAAAGAAGACTTTAAAGTTTATGCAAACAGTCTCTTTATGTACCCCAAAAATGTTCTGATGATGTACCAACCCTTGGTCTGCAAAAAGGCAGTATAGGGACAAATTGTGTAACTACACACTCATGTCGAATTCAGCTTCAAGACTTAAACCTTGGACAGAAAGAGAAATCAAAGCAATTTGTTTGATGCTTCAATTTCAGAAAAACAAAGACATGGAGTCATGCAAATACAGCTGGATAATAGAGGTGCTCTACTTTTGATATGAATATTAAAGTTTCTTTGTTGTCATTACACATCTACAGACAACAGCGCAACAAAAGGAGATATATGCATTTATAATGAATGAATATACAAATAAATTAAGCATTATAAGAAATGTATATTAATTGAATTAAGGTTGAATGTATTTGCTCAAAAAAAGTTCTGCATTAAGTGTTATTAGTGATTTCCTCCAGTGCATGCTGGGTCAGCACTCACATGTTTCTATCCCTGGGTGAAAAGGTTATGCCCTCCTTATCTAAGCCATTAATACTCCCATTATTCCCATCTGTTCTTAAAGGGAGGGACCATCTGCCCTCACAAACTAGTCAATGAACATGCTCAGCACACATTTAAGACAGAGGACTCTCTGCAGCACCTCAGGCAAACCAAGAGTCAGGAACTGTGAAGTTCTATGATTCTATTTGTGATAGTTTTATTGTGGAGGGCGTCTGGACCACAATTCAGAGCTGCACCTGAGAACACAGACTTGAAAGTCGTGTGTTTGACAACTTAAAAATGATTCTTTTGTTGTTGTAGTTGTTGTACACTAAAATGATCAAAATCATTGTAAAATGTACAATGCTCTTTGAAAACACGTATTTTATCAAATCTGATCAAACCTTTTCATCTCTGTCTGTTAAACCTAGGATTATAGTAACTTGATCAACTTTTCCATGTATTTAAACTCATTTTTCTAGTCGTCTACTTCTTTTCGCTGTATAACCTAACTACTGGTTTGAGACGTTGCTTCCTGTGACTGACCTGGTCCATGTTTGTCACTTTCTGTCTGTTTCTGCTCCACATTTGTCATGGTGGGTCACAGCTACGTTACAAATCCATCAGATAAATACAGCAAAAACTGGGTCACGGACAGTTCACCAACTATCTTGTCCTGACAAGGATCCAGGATGGATTCCTATTTGTATGAGTGATATGTGAGTTTAATATGGCGAGACAGATTTTTATTCTTTGATTGACCTTTTGTTCAACCCATTTTTTTTTTATTTGATGTCCGCAGGTGACGTACCGAGGTTTTAATTGTACGGCGCTCTGTTTCAGATCTTACAGATGCAGGTAACTCTACACGCCCCAATGAGGACCCGGA